ATTTCTTCTGCTTCTGTTAGGTCCCTGCCTTTTTTGTCGTTTATCACATGCTCTTTATCAAAAAAATGCTAGAGAATGATTCAGATTAGAAATATTTATAATTAATACTTTAGAATAACAAAGATCTTGAAACTGATGAAAACCTAAGGCAGAAACCTTTTTGGTAATCTGTAAAGCCATTTTGTGCTGCCTTTTGTTTTTAGATAATTAATAAAAGAGAGAAACAGCCCATTTCACAAACAGGCCGGGTCAAAATAATGGCTCACACCCTCCTAGTTTATTTACTATATATTTGTTAGATGAATGCCTGTTTTTCCTCCAGGAAGTCAAGGCACTAGATATCACCCTCTTGCCTCCATTTGAGCCCCACAACAACTCTAGGAAGTAGATTTGGAGGTGGTGGTGGAGAGGGGCTGATTAGCCTCAAGTCGTCATTGAGTTTCCATGGCCGATGGTGGATGTGAACCTGGCTCCCATAGTTTTAATCTTGAACCTTAACCATCACGTTTTACCCACTAACGCAAGCTATAGTTATTTGAGAAGTATCTTGGAATGAAGGATCTTGGAACAGGCAGTTCAAGTAAATGACATCAAAGTCAAGGGCCGTTTGGTCTGAAGAAGCTTCTTCAGTGATACCTGATTTCCTATCAAAAGGCATGTGCCTTCAGAGAACTCTTCTAGCCAGCACTTCTTCTTTACTTTCATCTATCAGCATTAAACTTTCCTGGGGAATGAATCCTGTTCCAGTTTCATGCTGGTACTTAGTGCTTAGAGAGTTTATCTCCAAGCCTTCATTTTCTCATGCTTATCTCTCCAATTTGTGGGTGGTGTGGGAGGTTGCATTTCTGCTTTGTTTCCAAAGGCTGCGTTCAAATATGTCTGTGGCATATTTGAACATGGAGTGAATCTTTGAAATTCAATAGATAAGTTACATGAAGCAAACTCCAGTATTTTCCGAAACAAAAAAATATGCAGAGAGTTGATATATGCCTGTCAGGGGAGTGTCTGATAAAACAGATGGCAATGGCATCATTGAAGATGGCAAGAGAGGCTGAGAGGAACATTAATGCACTTAGTCCTGCAAATAAGCTTTAGAAGGTAATCCTCTTTTAAGCTTCTGTGATAAAGCATATGGTGGGTCAAAGTCTTGGGTTATTAGTCATGGCAAACAGCTCCTGCATCTTCACTAGCAACAGAGTAGAGGTAATTTAGTTCCTTGGCCAGTTTAGAATATCTCTGATCCTATACTCAAGCCAACAGCATCCCATTCTGATTCTGCTTAGGCAGACAATGGATTTCAGAGAGAGATTCTTTTAGACCCTTTGTGTGGCAAACACCTTGGCAGAAGAAAAGTAGCTTAGTAGAGAAGAGATTCAAATTCCACTGTGCAGTTTTTTTTCTTAACCCCAGGAAACATTTTTTTATAAAAAAAGACATTTTGGGGACTTTCAGAAACTTGCCCCCCCCCATGCACAGTCCATTTCACATTTCTATTTTTACTACTGTGTTCTGCTACATGCATATCTAGCTTCCTTCCCAGCTGCTCATGGTTAAGGGAGGTGATCAGTGCCTCCCGGAGTGCAGGATATGTCCCCCACTTCCTTGAAGGAGGCAGTCATAACAGATCCATTGAAAAAGTCTTACCCTGACTCGGAAGATCTTACTAATTACAGTAATCTTGAGTAGTCCTTTCTGGATAACCTGACTGGGAAGGCAGTGGCCTTGCAGCTTCAGAATTATCTGGATGAAACTGAATTTCTGGGCCCATTTCAATCAGGGCTTCTTCCATGGATGTCTTGGTAGATGACTTAGCCAGAAACTAGAATGGGAGAAGGCAACTCTACTATTTCTCTTAGACATCTAGGCTGCTTTTGATACTATTAACAACAGCATCCTTCATGGCCATTTGGAAGAGTTGGGCATTGGGACGCTGTTTTGCAATGGTATTGGTCCTTTCTATTAGATATGCTGAGAAGGTGGTGCTGTGGGGGCCACAGTTCCACAGGATTCTGACTTTTCTCGTGGGCTCTTCAACCTTTGGAAGAGTACATTCATAACTATGAAATGGGAGGTCATCAGTCTGGTGACGATTCTCAGCTTCACATTCCCTGCCTTCCAACTCCAACGAAGCAATCCTTGAATGCTGTCTTATCCTCATAGTGGGCTGGATGAAGGAGGACAAGTTGACAATAAATCCAGATAAGAGGGAGGTGCTGTTGGTAAGGAAGAAGTTAGATTCTGGAATTGCTTACCAGGCACAATTTAAGATGTTGACATTGACCTTAATGGCTTGGGCTTGACTACACTATCTTTCTCAGTGTAGAACTATTCAGCTACTTATCACCAGGAAAGGCTCTTTGGAAGCACCCACCCGTGCCACAAATTGGGTGCTCTGGTACGGGGACTGGGCTTTCTCCTGTGTGGCTCCCAGTCTGTGGAACACACTCCCTAGGGCAGTGTTTCTCAACCTAGGGCAACCTCAATTGTCCCAGAATTCCCCAGCCGGTTGAAGTCCACCCATCTGAAAGCTGCCAAGGTTGAGAAACACTGCCCTAGGGGGATGTGTTTGGCCCCCAGGCACCTGGTATTTAGGAAGACAGTGCAAACACATCTCTTTCTCCAGGCTTTTAACTATTAATTATGTTAATAACAGACTTTATTTTTGTTGAGATTTTAATTGTATTCTGATACTTGTATACTCTGTACTCTTTTTTTGGTAAGTCACCTTGAGGGCTGGAATGAACAAAAAGGTGAGATATGACATTCAAGAGTAAGTAAATAAATAAGTGGCACTTTAATCATAGGTAATGAGGATACAATTATTTTACTGCACTCCTCTTAATTACTTGAAAAGAAAGGTGGATGCAGGAATGAATACACCCTAGTTAAATTCCAGGGATGTTTTCCTCCTGGGACCTAAGTTACTGGACTGATATGAAATATTAATCAGAATTTAGAAAATCTTTTCCTTTACCGGAAGCGAATAGCATAGGAAGTGGTTGAAATCAACTGTATACATCGTCTATGATAGCACCATCATTTTTCTAGTCCTGCCTTATGTCACAAACGTTACAAATTATGAACTTGGATATGTAGCTTGAAGAAATCGGGAAGGCTGGTCCTTCTTTTAGTCTACATCAGCTTTCTAACTGGCAGACTTTGGATATGGATGAAAAGTGAGGACTGTAAAAAGTATTTTGATGGCACTAGAAATTATCTGTTTTGCTTTGTTCAGTTCTTCGGTTTTAGCTATGTGTCTTTTCTGTCGTACATTTGCCTTCCCTTTTCAGGACCTGGTCTTAGTCTTGGGACCAATACCTGCATGGGAAAGTTTCATGGAATGACCATGCAGGACTTCTGAACACCCTAGGTATTTTTTTAACCCTAAGCATCTTAAAGACCTCTGTCAGTGGAAATGCTTATGGCATAGCTGAAACAATAAAGTAGGCCCTATCATTTCTCCATTGAATACTAGTACCCTTATTTTTAAATGGTATTTAAAAGATTTTTTTTTAAAATCTCTTTTTAGATTATCTCTAAAAGCGGGAAATGTTCTTGCTTTTTTGCAGATCTTATCAAAAAGCTAGCACAGCAGACATTTGGAAATAAGCCTGGTGATTATCAAAAGGTAATTTTACTGCTTTATTTACATATTTCCTGGAATGTGTTTGGGATTTGCTTTACAAGCTAAATACTGTTATGTTAACTCTTGCCACATCTCCTGAGTAATTTTCCAGATTCTGTAGCTCAAAACCTGCATGATGTTTCCTTTTGCTTTGTGTCCATGTAATTTACATAATTCAGTATTTTCCTAAATGATTTATGAGACTTTTAAAATCTATAAAAAATGAAAACATATTATTTCTTTTTGCATAGTGTTTCTTTTAAAAATGACAGTTTGGCTGATAACATATTGTTGCAAAAGGATATTAAAATAAACTGAGTTCTGTAAACACAGTGGAAACTTCCCATCGTGTAAAGCTCAGGCTTCTGAATGCAGTACATGTTTCTTTCTTGCATAATCAGCCTTGGGAGAATCTCTTTACATGCAATGCTTTCCATTTGAATGAAATTACACCCTTTCTGAGAGAGCATGTAGCATGGTGCTGCATGTTCATGGATGTACTAATGCTACAGAGATGGCGTGTACTTTGCTGATAACAGTCTCCTGTTGTTCAGATGGTTTCTTGCTGAGAGGATAAGAGATTGCAATCCAATCAGGAAGACCCGGAAGGAAATGTTGAATCCATCCAGTCCAACCCACTGCTATGCTTGTTCACCATTTTCCATTTTCCACTGTGAATCAGTGGTCACAGAGATGTTTTAGGAGAGCATTAGGCTCCAGAAGAAGCTTATCGTCTTCAACGGCGGCACAATGACTCCATTCTTTGTCCCATGTGGTAGTTGAACACTTCAGATTATGAAAGGGTTCTGAATGTTGTGTTTGTTGCATCATTAAGTTCTCTTACGTGCTGTCAGTATAGGTAAAGAACAGAGGTGATAAGAGAATCTGTCACACATTTTGTTGCCTGTTTCTGAATTAGGCAAAGTGGCTATGGACTATATGCAAGAATAGGTGACCAGTCGAAGAATGTAGAGCGCTGATTCTCTGTTTCAGTAGTTGTAGCAAAGCATCATGGTCCATTGCGGGAACATTCTGGTGTTCCTTGGAATATTCATTTTTGCCTCTAGAATGAGCTGATTCAGAGAAGAACAAAACGTGTCTTAGGGCTACCAGACTGGGGCTGCAAAAATCCAGAGAACCACAAGATGGTAGCAGAAAGCTATTTTCAAGGATCTTTTGCAACCCTTAGCTGGTAGCTTTAAAATCTTTTCAGGATCCTGCCTCAAATCAATGGATTTTGCAGTGTGTTATCTGTTGGTATTCATTATAAGATGGTGTTTATACAACCCTTCTGAATTCTCCCAATATTTTTCAGAAAGTGAATCTCTGGTATGTCCAGGTTGATTGAAGGGGGGAGGCTATTGGACTCTTGGGAACCTGTTTGGGGTACTGTCCCCTACTCATGAATCCAGAAAATTGCCATCAGTCTGTCTGTCTCAATAGAAAACAGGCTTCCTCCTGAAAAGATGGCTGAATTCATTTAATGGTCAGATTAACTGCAGTGACCTTTTAAAATCTATAAAAAATGAAAACATATTATTTCTTTTTGCATAGTTGCTTCTTTTAAAACTGACAGTTTGGCTGATAACATATTGTTGCAAAAGGATTTTAAGATGAACTGCTCCTCCCCCCCTCCTCCTTTTTTTGGTTTGTAGCGGTCACTAGCTAGTGTCTCACATGTATCTCTTGTGCAACTTGGACATTTTGGCAAAGAGAGGTTGTGAAAGGAAAAGAGAAGAACTAGAAAAGTGCTTCCCAGTTCCAAGCTATGAGTTGTGATTGACCAAGTGAGGTCAACATTTAGCCTCTTCTTTTGAATAGATGGAGAATTTCTCATTCTGGAGGTCATGGCAACACCATCGGTCTAAAAGTTGCAGTCGAATAAATTTATGGAGTTTCTGAACCAAATTATTGAGCCCAATTATCAGGCTGAAGTCCTTTCACTCTTCATAGTGTTTGCCACTAGAGCATGGGACCTGATTTTTATATTGTCATTATTACTCCTGTGACTTACGAAGTCAGTAATGGTGGTTCCACTTACCCATTCTGTTTAATAGGGAGAGTTTTTATAGTTTGTTTTGTGAACCTTTGATAGTTTAGAAGCAATGGAAATCCTATCCATACCATGCAAAATAAATACAGTCTACGACAAAAGACAAAAATATGAGGTTTTATTTGTGTAAATCCTGTAGTTTTCAGGCATTTCATTTTTCACTAGTTTTAGCTAACCATGTGATCAGCATAAAACTGAAATATATTGATTTTTTCCCCCCAACATCCCCTAATGGGCTCTTGGCTTAAAATAAATACCAATTATTTAAATGTTGTCTTTTGTCTAGTCTGTGTTATTCCTGCATTCTTAGAATTGTGTGGCTTTAGTTTGTATGGGGATGAAGTGTTTTCTATTCTTCTGTGCCAAATTCAGGTACAGATTTCTGGGTGTATAAAAGATCTGTTTGATGAGGGGAGAGGATGGAACTAAAAAGGGGAAGTGCCCTTCCTCCTTGCTTCTCAGTCTTGCCAGTGCATCAGGGATGAGACTGAATCATGGGAATTGAATGGGTCCCCCTTAATCTTCTGGATGTGGGAGTTGGAAGCTGTTTTTATTTTTCTGCAACCCCCTCCTTCTTGATGTAGGTTTGTGAACTGGGGGAGGTAGTCCGATGGAGGTTGTGTGGGACCCTTTTTTCAAATTATTAGGTGTCTTCACTGCAGTAATGGAGATAACAAAATTGCTTCAGTTTAGAGGATTTTGAGGATGACTAAAAGACATCACACTTTGAATGCCCTAAAAAGGACTTAGGTTATCAATGTATCCCAGAAAGCCATAACAAATTGTTTTCAGTGAAATGAAACTTGCGATGTGCAAAGTAAATGAGAACCTTGTTGAATTTCATTATTGTATCTCATGTGCTTGAATGGCGAGTCTAAATCCTTTTACATGTTGAATTGTTTTAAAAACCATGTCTGCAATGTTTATTTCCTCTTTCCCTACACTATATTTTATGTTTTCACTTATTTTTGAACAATTTGTGGAAAGACAGACAACTGATTATGAAGGCCTTTGTTTGAGAAACCAGTAAGGTCCTCCTCAGACCTCTGTCACAGATGCTTCTCTGTGAAAGTTGGTATTGGTGTGGTGGCCCTCCATCCTCAGGCAAGTTATGTCACTGCATCCTTTGCTTATTACATGAATGAGGAAAGGTTCACCACCAGCCCCAGTCCCATGACCTGAAAGCCCCATCTGCTACCATGTCCATATGAGGTGTTTCTTTGAAGAAAGAGAGCAACTGACATATAACTAGGGATTTATGCTGATGAGTTCTTCCCCAGGCCAATTCTGCTTACACCCCAGGATGTAACTGAGTAGTGGAGTGGTAAGAATTTTTTTTAAAATTTGGAACAATTCCTCTGAGTTCAGAGTGGGTTGCTTTGACTCTCCTAGTAGTATTTTGAGTTCAGAAGAGCCCTACTTTGAATGCAACATCCCGGTTTGGAACTTGAAACAACCGTTTCATGCTTGAAACGCTTCCAGAGAGGTTAAAACCACTGTTTCTAAACTCAGTACTTTGCATACCCCAGTTGATCAGCCCTGCCTCCAATGTTAGTTTAGCTCCTCTTTGAAGTGTGTTCAGATATTTCCAACTTTTTTCACTGGCTTGAGGAAACCAGAGTGTGCTGCTCTGTCCAAATCCATGTCAAGTGTTTGTGTATGAATTTTGAGCTTGGCCCCCAACATACCAGGAAAAAAAATAAATTGCACTATGTAACTCTGTAAAAAAGGCATGCTTCCAAACAAATGAAGTTTGGAATGTCTGAATCAGACATTCTGTATTGTGTCTGCTTAACTGATCACCTAAACAATCACAAATAATTGCTTTTTATAGATCCATTTTTTTTTAAAACAAGTAGAGACTTGTTTCAGGTAACCGATTTATAATTAATGGCAGGAAAGAGAAATAAACACTTTACGTCTGTTCTCAAGGGAATGAAGATTCCTCTATATCTGAACCTGTGTAAATACATTTTTCAAAGACATAAAAGCGAAGGCTGAATTAATTGCTTTTTACACAGCTGCTGTGCTGATATACCTCTGGGGATTTAACTCCCTAGATAAAGTAGTAGAAAATACATTTAAACCAAGTAGTGTTCCACTATCTAACTATTTCTGTAGGATATTAGAAAAGGAATGAAGTCCAAGTGATGTAATTCTGCCCCCAAAGCTAAAAATATGCTAATGATGACTAGTTCTGTTGAAGGAATCAATTTGAAATAAAACAAGGATTTTTAAAAACACAGCTTGTAACAGGAGGCAGTTAGTTCTCTTAGTGGAACTAGCAAATTTAAAATGTCAATTAAATGTAAAACTAAAAGTATCTTAGTTTGTCAAAGTTTTGCTTTGTAAATACTTAATGCACTTAATTACTCCTTGCTGTTATCACTTGAGTTGATGGCTGTGTAAATTCTGTGAGTGCTTTATTTATTGCTCACCTGCCTTCTTTTTATTCATGCTGCTCTGTACACCATATTCCTCTGATTTCCACAGCCCGAAAATGTTGTATTGACTCTGCAGGTAAATGTTTTTGTTGTTATCTTACTCACCCTTTGCTTCTAAAATACCATGAATTAACCCTTAACCTCATCCAACGTTGTCTTTTCAGCATCCTTTATAGCTAAAGAAAGAAAAAAATATTTCAACAAATTTGTTTGTTTATTTATTTATTTACAACATTTATAAAGCCACCCATCTTATATCGAACTCTGGGTGGCTCCCAACCAACAGTTAAAAACAACATCAATATACAATTAATACATACATATGTCTGTTAAAACCACAAACATTAATACCTGGCACCAAAGTTAAACTTCCACATGCAGTCCATCATTAAATCCTCTCATCCACCTCACCCTATCCCGATGCTTGGGGGAAAAACCAGGTCTTCAGTGCTTTTCGGAAGGCTAGGAGGGTGGGGACCTGCCGCACTTCAAGGGGAAGGGTGTTCCATAGGGCAGGGGCTGCCACAGAAAAGGCAGCTGAGCACCAACCACCCTCTCAACCGCCTTCCCTAAAAAGGGAAGGTTGGAGATTGGGTGAAAGTTGTCTAATACTGTTGGGTCCAAGGATGGGGTCTTGAGAAAGGGGCACATCACCGCCTCCTTCAAGGCAAGCGGTGCCACCCCCTCCCGCAAAGAGGCATTAGTCGCCACTTGGACCCAACCATATGCTACCTCCCGGGAGGCCCTAGCAGGTGGCTGAGCTCACGGCCCCAGGGGGCCTGTCTGCTTCCTCAAGAGCATCCGCTCGAACTCCTCCCAGATAACAAGGCTCAGATGTGTCTCCATCACCTCCAAAGGATTTCCCAGCCAGAGTCCAACTCCGAGCAAAGTCGAGCGACTTTATCTGATGGATGCCGAGAATATTCCTCACAGCGACCCTGCAAGGGCTCTCCCGGCTCCTCCTTACCCAGGAGGGACCCGACTGACTGGGCTGCTGGTCAGTTACCTGCAGATGCAATGAGGGCGGAACAGTAATTATGCTTCGCCGTCCTTATCACCTCAAAATAAATCCTAATATAGGCTCTTTCCTGTGCTTGGTCGGCCTCATTCTTTGTCTTCCTCCAGTGGTGCTTTAGGTGACTCTTCTGTCACTTCATCTCTCTGAGCTGCTTGGTAAACCATGGTGCTCTATAGGATCCACGTACACAGAGAGTCCGCACAGGCGTGATTCGGTCCATGTTCATTTCAAGCTGTGACCAGGGCCTCTGCTAAACCATGTTCCAGAGTTTTGGGAAAAGCCCCAAGCTCCCTCTGAAACTGCACTGGGACCATCAGGTGTCTGGGGTGGGGTGATCAAATAGGCTCCACCTCCCTGCGGTGGGGGGTGGCTGTGGAGAACTCTAGGGCCAAGAGAGAGTGGTCTGTCCATGGCAGGGGACTGATACTAAGGTCCCCCAAATCCAGATCACGACACCACTGCCCCGAGGCAAACACCAGATCTAACATGCGGGTAGGACCATGGATAAGTTGGACCATGTCCATGGCTGCCATGGTAGCCATGAACTCCTGCACTACCTCAGGCCCCAGACCCAGAGAAGGCAGATTGAATCCCCTGGAACCATAAGCCTGGGGAACTCCACTGCCAGCCCAGACACAGAGTCCAGGAGTGCAGACATGGATGCCGCTACACTGCGGGGGGGGGGGGGCGGGCAAGCGAGCAGCAATCCCCACTGATCCCTATGGCCCAGCCTCACAAAGAGGGTCTCACATCCAGTGATGTCTGAGCAGGGCCCCCAGTGGCCCCCAAAGATTCACGAATGACAACAGTCACACCCTCACCCCTGCCCTGGAATCATGGTTGGTGCCACACTGGAAATTCAGGACGGCACATTTCAGAGAGGGGGACACCCCCCCACACACTGTGGCCGACCAGGTTTCAGTAATATAGACCAGGTTAAGATTAAGTTGAGGATGAGGGAGGCTTTATTACATACAGACAGTCCCCTACAAACAAACAGGTTACATTCCAAGAGGTTGTCGTAAGTCCATTTTGTTCGTAAGTCCAACCAAGTAAAAAGTAAAAAAAAAAAAGAGGAGGCAGGAGGCAGGGCAGCGGTGTGGGCAGAGAAACCCTGTCTTCTGCTGCCAATGTGAGGAGCTATAGCCTGCAGACTGTGGAGAGCGCAGTGGGACAAGCTGGTGGGCGCTGTCACCAGGTGGGGTAGGAGAGGTGGCGGTGGCTCCCTGGACAAAGGGGGTGGATGTGCGGGACCCATTGCTGCCTCTCCTGCCTCACCTAGTGACAGAACGCACCACGTAAACTAACTCTTTCCGGGAACTCCAACTCCAACAAAAACCTCCAACCTCCCAGACGGCAGGAGAAGGCGGGAAAGGGTTAGTTTGTGATGTGCCAGAAACTAGCCCTTTCCCACCTTCTCCCAACTTCCAGGACCATCTTGTTCATATTGGCAAAAGTTCACCACTTGAAAGTTCGTAAGTAGGGGACTGTCTGTACTGACCTGGCATTCAGCAGCAACCGAAGTCTAGAGCCACCGAAACTCCAGCAACCGGGTCATGGGGCTGAGCACAGGGGGCCAGAACACAGTATGAGTCTTCAGTAGAGATATATAGACCTGGTCAGAGACGTTTCTGCCTCGCATTCAGTGCCCCACCCAGTCAGGGTCTCCCTCCCCCTCCCCCAAACTGACCACCTTCCTAACTTAACTTCATTCAGCTCCCCCCACCCCAAGCACCTTGCTCTCACCCAGTTGATTAGGGGAGGCTCATCCGTGGTGAGCTGTGTAAATGTAATGTAGTGGTGTTATTTACAACTGTGTTAAATGTAATGGTGTTATTTACAACGTTAATGGTGTTAATGGTGTTGAATGAAATGGTATTATTTACGACGTCATAAATGTAATGGTGTTATTTACAATGTTGTTGATTTAGCTTGGAAAATACTCCTGTCTCATGTTAAGAGAACTGTATTTAAAATATTTCTGTTTATATCTAACAAATTCCCTAACCGCACCTGAAACTAAAGTCTGCACGTTGCAGTTATTTATGCTTGAAGCTATTTTCTTTGAAGAAATGAGAAATTTCAGATGGGTTCACCGGAAAGTAATGAAGTGAAAGTGGCTTGGAGGGGACCCTGAAGTGTTTGTGGCACTCCTTTCGCACTCCGGTTAGTCTTGGGGCAGCAGAGGCAACATATATATTTATAAACAGTCCAAGTACCATTCCTTCAGTGCTTTTCAAATTTGTCAGGCGGAGCAACACACCCAACAATTAGGGAAAAGAAAGGTTAGTAAGAAGCTGAGCTGCAGTATTTTGTTTAACAGCGCCTCTAGTTCAGTGTTTCTCAACCTTGGCCGTTTTCAGATGTGTGGACTCCAACTCCCAGAATTCCCCAGCCAGCTG